GGGGGCGGAAAAAAAAAAGTGCTAGCAATTTTTTGATCCTTTGGGATTTTTGCATAATGTGAGAGTGTGCTCACCCGTAGGAGCAATTGGGGCAGGGGAGAAATCCATCAGGTTATGTGTTGGGTGGGGGGTTTTTGACCTTGGAAAGTTCACTCTGAGTATTTCAGAGCTGGGTCTCATTAGAAATATAGAGAAAGTGTAATACTGCGCAAGAGGCAGATCCACTTTAGAGCAATATATGGCTTCAGTGCCTTGATGGCAAATGGGATTGGCACAACAAGGAGGTTGTCGTCTTTTATCTCCAGAGGCTATTTGTTCACAGCATTAAGAACATTAAGCTGTTGTACAATTAGTCATCTCCCCAGATACCTCCTGTATAGAAACAGCACAGGAAAGAAAGAGTTTAGAGATAAAAGCAATTTAGTCACATATGCTGCTTGCCTATTTCAATGTGTTGTCAACACTTCATTTTCAGAAGCTGAAATATCCAATACATTTAGAAATTCAGGTGAAAATGGGATATTTATGCTTTTATTACCTCCTAAAAGATATTGAAGGTGGTGCAAAAGTAGTTGAGTCATCTTTGAGAAGTTGTTTCATTTTTGCATAACAAAAGTAGCCACGCAAGCAGTGTATTTAGCATGGTTTGTCTAGACCTGAATTTTGGCAAACCCGGTTGATGCCTATCTAGAAGCATGTTCCGGTGTGAGATTGCGGTCATTGTTCTTGTAATTTGTGCTTATATACTGCTCCCTGTATGTGTTTCTGCTCTGTGGGTTACTTCCCAGTCAGCCAGATAGATCCTTAGCTGATGGGAAATACCTGTTCTTAATTGTCTGTTTCTGGAAGCAATCACAGCTCTGTGGCTTATTCAAAATAGTGGTAATGAATGTGAACCTTCCTCTGAAATTTACATCAGAAATATTTGGTTTTCATATCCTTTTCAGTTTTGTGAAGTTTGAAATATTTTTATAGTATATCATGCAGTTTATTCCACTGTTCTGCTGCCTTTCGCTCTTCCAGTGAAATTGTGGGAAAAGCTGGACTTAGGTAATGTGAGAAAAATTTGAATAAATGAAAAATCCTTCTTTTTAAAAATACCATTTTTCTGAAGCAAAACACCTTCAGTTTCCCTGCCACCCTGAAGAAAAGTAAGCTTTCTAATAATTTCTAGCCTCTATGTAGAAAAGTATTTACTTGAGGAAAAGTATGAGGAGAATGGAAAATACACCAGGGAGATGGAACCACAAAGGCAGTGCTTGGCTCTTATTTCATTTCATGTAAAATTCACCAATATATCGGGGACTAATTCTGCTCTGCAGTCGAGAGGTTAGCAGCAAGACTGGAACTTGCTTGTGTTTTAATCTGTGTGACTAATGACTTGTTTAAAGTTTTATTTTTTTGACAGTTGTACTGTACAAAATCAAAATACCATGTTTTGGATGACTGAATTAACTCCTCTGCCATTTAAAGATTAACTTGTTTATTCAGTAATGTAGAGCAGTGTATGGAGAAAATTAATGAGTTTTACTGCAACATTCTTGCTTTTCACTTAAAAGGGTGTGTGCCATCAGGTGATGAAAAGGCCATTCGTAAATTAAGAATAAGAAAATGTTTTTTGAAGTAATGTCTTTAGTGAAAACCCCACTGATGCTATGGAGATGAAATTTTAAGTGATTAAAATACAGAATATGTCTCCTATTTCTAATTTTCACAGTGTAAGACGGGGAGGGAGGAGGATGGGGGAAAAAAAATCGGGAAGAAAAATGTTGAAAGCTCGCGTCTGCAAATACCTGAATAGTATGTCTGGTAACGGGGAAGTTGATGCCAGAAGTTTACATGCATCTTGCTGTCAGCCTTCTGGAAAATTTGGCACTTCATGAAACCTTAAATGCAGATATTTGAACAAAATGTTTGTCTGGACTTTTAATTTAGGAAGATACAAATCATAAAAGAAAAACTAAGGAGACATTTGAGAGATTCTGTTGCATTTAAAAATACTGTCCTCCCCCCTCTCCTGTTGCTCTTGCCTTTGGATTATTGTCAAGGAAAACCTTCTGCAATTTCAACAATGGCCCTAATCCTGTAATCAGATCCAGGCACAGATTGTTGAGTTCAGTGAAATTCTATGTGGGTTTAGTGGCTATAAATCAAATTGCAGGATTACGGACTTAGTTTTCAATATTTAGAATTTTTTGCTTTTTGCACTCAATCTGAAAAATGGAAATAGATGAGTCAGTGTTACCTTCCGGGATGTCGGGATTGTGAGCAACCAAAGAGAAAGTATTCATCTGGATGCACATTAAGTGTTACTGTCTTGCAGAAATTAAGTTCTTTGTCAATTAACACAGGTGAGTAGGAGGATATTCCTATTTGGCTGTCTAGTTGTCTGTATTCTGACTCTCACTTTCAACAAAAGACTTTGACAGGCTTTACTTGCATCCCTGATTCCATCAGGTGTTCAAAATAATCTTGAAACAACTGGTATTTGAGATTTGATAATGTACACAGCCTGTAAACTTGCTATTTGAGTATTTTGACACCACTTAGGGCTTACCCTTGAACTAATTTCAATACTAAAATTCTCCTCCCCTTTCAAATGATTATAATATTTCTTACTGTTGTGTAATGCCTTAAATGGCAACTGCTTTTAACCTCAGGGTGACCTGCATTTCAGTAAGCAGTGTAGTAATCTTAATGACTGATTTTCACGATATTAAGCAGCTAACGAGCACCAGGCCAGTAAATAGTTCTTCAAAGTCTTGACTGAGCTAGGTATAATTTTTCTGGGACAACCTAAGCTAGAAAAGCCAATAAACCTGCATGCTTTTTTAAAATGAGACTTGCAGAGCAACCAGTTGGCAGCTATGAGTAGGAGTTTGCAAGCATATGGAGTGTAATGACAAATGAAATGTGGTGCTAATGGAGTCATGTACATTAGATGTCAGCCTCAGATTACTCCCACACATTAATGGGTATCTAGGCTAGGGTCCTGCAGAAAGCTTAAACTTTGATACCAAATCTCCATGGGACTTTTTTTGAGATGCTACCCATTGAATCATGTTGGTTCCTGTGAAAACCCAGATTCAGAGAAACTAGTGGAGAAGAAAAATGACATGATAGTAGATACTGAGGTAAGCAGCACCTTATCCACAGTGAAAGCCATAAAAGGAAAGCTGTATAATAATGACAAGATGTGTATGATGTTGAACTATTGCAGTCAGTGATTTGACAATCATAAAATAGAGCAAAGAGAAGAATGCCTGAACACTAGGTGACAACATTACGCTTCCATATGAAAATAGTTTTGTTCACTTCAGGGAGAGATGAATGAGAGGGATGTGGTAGTGGCAGTATAAAGAGAAGAGTCTAGAGAAAATAAATTGGGATGTGGAGTTGTTCTTTTCACCATCCAAGGAGAAAGATATCCAATGAAGTGAAAGGCAACAAATTGAAACCAAATAGCAAGTACTTCTCTTACGGAAAACAGCCACAGACATCTTTGGGTATTCCTTGGGGGCATGAGACTGGTAGGATTAAAAAAAATAAAGTTGCTTCAGAACAATCAAAACTATACTACATTGAATAAAAGCATTCTGTATATTCTGTGGATTAGAAACTTGGTTTAGGGTATAAGGCACGTGCTGGGTGAGAGGATCTTCTTCTAAGTAGTGCTGTAGTTTTCATCTGTAAGGCTTCTTGTATCTTCTTCTGAAGCAAAAATAATACTGCAGCTGGAGCAGTGTGCTAGATTGATTGGACATACTGGTCTCATCTGCAGTGCACTTCTTGTGTTCCTGTCAACTTAACCAAATATTGTTGGTTTGTGGTTTTTTTTTTTTAATGCTCAGATCCTGAATACATTTACAAGTAAGCCTACTATTATGCCTGATGGTAAACGTTAGCAATGTTTGTGCTGTCTGAATTAGGGTCTGTAAGCTCATCAGATGGAGATCCATCTTCTGAGGTGCTCAGTGTTCTGACCAGAAATATGCCTCGGTGTACCACAAGCATCACCACAGTATGCAAAATAAAGCATTCAGGATGAAAATACGGAGTATTGCTGTGAATATTGCAGGTCATGGGAGCAGGCTTAAGTGCTGTAACAAAAAGGAAAAGGTGTTCAAAATACGTGATTAGGCTACGTGAGCATTTCTTTGTTATTAAACCTAAAAATGTACTTGGATTTAAGGTAAGGACCCCAAACCAGCCTTTTTATATAAAGGCTGCAAAGTTTTTGTTTTCTTTTGATATGTGCCATAGAGCTCAAATGCTCATAGAGCTTTGAAATGCTCTTAAGGAAGGATAGCAAAATACAGCCGGACTGTAGAATTTGCAGAACTGACCAATAAACTTACCAAGAATCCTGTTAACTGTCGTGTTGGCAAAGGCAGCACAAACATAATGTGAGACTTGCACAACGGGAATTACTGATGTGCATGGATCTGTCACCCTTTGTGCCTTAGTTATCTGTCCATTATCACTTGCATTTGTTCTAAAACATTTTTTGAAAACTTGAGTATTAATGGGTCCATAATGGAATGGAAGCTTTAGGGCATGACTGTCTAACATTTGATTGTAGTATTTAGTTAGCTTGTGATATATTTTTTACAGGTAATGCTTGAGGCTTAAAGGTGATGTTGGTGCTGGAAAGCAGCTACACGTTTTCAGCTGGCCTTTCCTTTACAGTTAAGGAGAAAAAAAGCTGTGAGAATTGTACTTAGCGTTCCAATTAAGTAGATGCTGCATGTCCTGTGTTTTAAAGTAACACAGTGGAAACTTTAACCTTGCTTTCAAGATGGGAAGACAGGAAGACTGAAAAACTGAAGCCTAGAACTAGTACATTAGTTAGCAATGTGGTACGTGTTTTACTACACGCAGTCCCAAAGGGAATGATCTGGGGCTTTTGAGATTTAAGTTAAGCAGCTGAACTAGGAGGCTCGCTTCAGTTCTGAGCGTATGTAGCAGTAACGAGATGTGCTGGGGAGAGACGCTTTAAACTGCTGTCTCTTGTGGTTCTGGCTTGTGTTAGTATTAGAACTCGTGGCTATTGTTGTGAGAGGCCAAATAAATGGGTAATGATTAGATGAATAGTCCCAATCTTTCCCCCCCTTGGTCAGCCTTCAGCTAGAATTTTGGTGTTCAACATTTTGTGAAGGATCAGGTAGGCAAAGTGGCGTAGCTGTCTCCCTGGGGTGGTTAGACTAGATTTTCATGGCTGTGTATCCCCCTGTTGGGAAAGTTTTTATTCCTTTCGTAACTGCCAGTTGTGCACAGTCATTACTGTGGATTTTATGCAGGTACAATAAATGTATATCTAATTCTTGTTATGTCTTTCTGATGAAACTTAGTCAAACAGATTAAACGGTGTTACATGTCTTGCTTCCTGCAAGGTGCTGAGTATTCCAAAGCCACTGAAGAAAAGCAATGAAACATCCACTGACTTAAGCAGGAGTAGGCTTGAACTGAAATTAAAATACTGACAAAGAAGGATGGAAGACAAACAAGACTGAAAAAAAAATAGTTCCATGGTTGGGTTTTGCAATAAATATTTATCTTCAGCTTTTTTTAAATATAATGTCAAGAAGAAAGAAAATATCTAATTTTCTTGGAGGAAGTCTATACTGCACCTAATGTGGAGATAAAACCCTTTATGTATATGTGTTTGCCAAATTATTTCATAATCTTTTTTCCCAATGGTTGCATTTAAAAATCTTGTGTTCAAGGATTGTCTTTTACTCTGTCTGGTATGCTGGTGCTCTAGCCAGTACCAAGCTATATTAATATCCATAGTGTAAGAGAACACTACAAATTTAGGTGAGGTAAATGGTGCTATTGAAGTTATTGGTAGAAGGTATTTTAATGCAACTCATGCACAAAGCTCTTAGCCTTCCCTACTTGATATAGAAGGTGGAGTTTAGTGGTGGGGGTTTTGGCAGTGTTTGCATTGGTTTTTCTTTTTTTTTTAAATACTTCAATCTTACTGTTGAGCCACTTGAATATGTTTCCTTTTCCTCTCCAGATAACAAAGAACTTTACCTTGCAAAGGCATTTCACAAGGCATTTCTAGAAGTTAATGAGGAAGGATCAGAAGCTGCTGCTGCCTCAGGTACCTGACTGAAAAGCAGAACTAAATCAAATGTCTGGTTATTCTGTGTTAATTAATTTTTTTAAAAATACTGACTTGCTGTACAGCCAGGAAAGCTAAATAGCATGTAGCATGAAGACACAGCGTAGCAAGTATACTGCTTTCCAGAAGAGAATACTGGAAGTGAAAAGTGCTAGCATTTTTTTTTTTTAACATGGTGTGTTTCACAAAGAATTTTGAGCACGCTGTGGAAAACCTCTTCCTTATTTTGCTTCTGATTGTCAGGAGGGTAGAGACTGCAATTTATATTTTCTTTACGGAACTTAAGTATTCGTAATTTTTGATCTGCTAATTGGGATGGTCAGAGGCATTTGATCCAGAATAGTTAGGAGTTAAGAGTTTTTGTAATTGCATTTTTAATAAGCTGGTGTACAGAGATGCAAGATGGAAAATGCTAAATGCAAAAAACATAGCTGGCCCCTATTAATGCTAGGAGGCCAGGTGGTTGGTTTACTTGGTTATCACACACTTTTCCTGAAAATAAGTTACATTAGTTGACAAATGCATCATTAAGCGATTTCTAATTGCCTCTACTTGTACCAGTCTGTGAGGCAAGGAAGAACGGCTTTCCTGGTCATGAATGTCAGTAGCTGGGATGAATTGTAACATTAATGTGGACAGAGATTGCTGGCGTGCATGAGTCTTTATTAACAGTACAGTGAAAATCTAAAAGTAAATGAAACACTGGGAAATAATAATAATGTCCTGGAGAAATCCATGTGTCTCCAAATAGAAATAACAAAGAGCCAAATTCTGCCTGATTCCCAGTTAAATTTACTTTTAGCCTCTGCATTATTTAAAGACTCAAGCTAAAAGCTGCAAGATCAGCCCATTTAGTTGTTGCATATTCCGTAGTTATTAAGGATTACCTTTTACTATCAGCTGCAGACTTGGAGCTGTTTAAAACAGGTCAGCAGTGCTGTCTAATGTAATGCACTTTTTTTTTCTACAAATGAGTGGAAGTCATAACTCCTCTTCAGGTTCTGGATCTTAAAATTTATAAGCTACTCCCTCAGCCTGGGAAATTGTGCCACTCTCCATTGTTAATCATTCTTAAAGCATAAATAGGCATGCAATTACTCTGTAGGTCTCTCACATTTTCAGTTAGATTTTTTTCATGCTATTTCTTGGTGGTGCTTACTGCTGAGACTGCGGGACTTCAGTGTCTGCTCATGAGCTTCACAAGTATCTCTCATGAAGAGCACAATGTGCAGTGATATTTAACAAGTTGCTTATGTTCTTTTTCCTTTAGGAATGATTGCCATTAGCAGAATGGCAGTGCTGTATCCTCAAGTTATAGTTGATCATCCCTTTTTCTTTTTGGTCAGAAACAGAAGAACAGGTGAGAATATTGCAGACTCATCCACATTTTTTCACAATGTACAAAAGAAAATTGCATATTTTTGTCAATGAACTGGCCTTGTATTATGAAATTTCCTTAATTTGTCTTAAAATACCTAATATTGAAAGACTGACCTTTTCTACATCCCCTTAATGTTTCTCCAAGTAAGACACCAAAATCTGACATAACCCTGAAAAATATTCACAATTACGTGATTAAAAACCCTGGGGAAGAAAAATTCACCATTTTTCTTTAGGGAACACGGTGTTACTGCCCTGAATATCCATAATCATTGCATTCCCTAAGAGCTTGGCTGTAGTAAGACCAGTGAGAGATGTTCCCGGCACCAAATTATTTGCATAATGGACAGATATTACAGCTATGAATAATTCTATTGTGCTCTTGAAGTGTTCTGTGGCAGGCAAGGGATGAGAACAGTGCTCGCTAGCAAAATGGGCGATGATTAAGTAATACCTTAGTTTCATATTTGTAATTTGTCTTAATGATGTGGCTGGGTGACAAAACAGGCTATCATATGGGTCTGTGTTGCAGTATCTTACACGTCCCACAAGCAAACTCTGGTAGGTTCAGTTTGACAGGGTTTTTTTTTCTGTATTTGAGATCCCCATCATGGGTATCGATGTTTATTAGATTGCAGTAATGCTTCCAGTCTAGCTAGGTAGGGTCACTTGCGTGCAAGGCATGATACCAAATATTAAGGTTTGGGGGTTTTTTTGATGAAAACTAAGTTGAGTATCCTTGCTGTTATAGACACATAATTAGGTAAAAATGTGTCTGGAGGAGGGTATTTACCCTTTCCCCTACTTGATATACAAAAACTTCCCCCAAAAGAAAAGTGTAAATCAGAACAGAGTAGAGCTTGGTAGCCTTGGGGCAGTTCTTAATGTTGCATGGGCCTTGATGTTGCATGTAGAAAGAGGAATTGCCAACAACTACAGTTAAAGCCTGAAAGGTCGTTATTAATCTAGAAATCTAAGGTCAGAAACCTTTTGGAAAACATCTGTGATAATTACCCTTATCCTTAAGAATACCTTAAGTGCTCATGTTTGATTACTGTGCTTAAACAGGTTAGATAGACAAGTATAAAATGGGAAAGACGGAAATGGTGATTAAATAGTGTAGGGGAGCAGTTATTGTATGGAGAATTCCTTGTTGTGGGCTGCATGCTCTAATGTGGAGTAAATCTGTGAACTCAAAGTATCTATCTGTTCATAATTGTTAACTGATTTGGTGTGGTGGCTTCTGAGACTCACTTCTAATTTTGTGAGGAACATTGTCCAGCAGTTCAGGCATGTGAGGGTGAGAAGTGATCATGAAGGTTACTCTAATCAGGTGTTCACACTTCAGTTAAGGTTAGCTGCCACCTTCAGAGCCCACCAGCCTAGGAATCAGTACTGTGTCATAACCGCTTGACATCAGTGGCAGGACTTCACGGGCCTTCGTCAGAACCATTGAAATGAAAGTGAACCTTTTCTGGTGGGTTTTCAACCAAGCCTTCAGAATAAGCAGAGGAGCACTGAAATGCAAAGGATTTCGCTGTTGTTCTCTGTACTGTATCAGTTCTGAATACAAAGAAGTCCTCTTCTCTAGCGCTGTTGATCCATTGCCTTTCATGGCTACCAAGTTCTCAGAGACATATGTTCCTTTAAAATTGTGCACCACGTGCTCTAGAACTTAGAATCAATATTTGTTATCTTATAACGTCAACTTTTCGGTTCTGATATCTTTCCTTCCCTTCCTCCCTTCCCACTTTTCCCACAGGTACTGTGTTATTCATGGGAAGGGTAATGCACCCTGAAGCAATGAATACAAGTGGCCATGACTTTGAAGAGCTTTAAATGCCACCAGCTACCAAAAAGAGGAGATAAGCACATAAAGTTTGAAGTTAATATATTTAAGGTTTGCTGTGTTTTCCCCCAAGATATTGTTTAAAGTGCTTTCAGATCTAACTGTGTGCAAGTCAGTTTCCAGAGGAAAGCTTACAGTATTAAAGTAATGGTTTCTGTTTCTGTCATTGTGATTGCTGTGTCCTTAAAATAAAATAGTGTACGTGTCAACAACTGTTTCTTGTTCTAGTGAATTGTAAAGCAAAAATCCTTGCAAATCCATTGTCATTTTTTTACAGTCCAAAGACTGACTTGCTCAATGAGACAGGAGCGCAATGTGTGCAGCTCTGAATAATGCAAATGGCAAACCTTGATGATAATTTACAGAGTTGAAGAACTACATCTGGACAGTGTGATCTCTTCCTGTTCCTGTACAAGTAGTAAACAGACTGCGATACGCTGTCTTATCGAAGTTAATGGAACAAATTAAGCCTAGTGGATTTTATTCTATAAAATAACTGTGGTAGACTTTGTGTGACCTCTCCCATGTGTGATTCTAAAATGTTGCTTTTATGAATGCTCCTGCATGCGACTCTGCAATTCACCTTCCGTAACTGTTGATGCCAATAAAATTTGATCGCATGAATATTTGAGACTAGTCAGTGTAGAATAGCTATGTATGTGACTGAAGTAAAATAGTTGAATAGTAATGTCATTCGTGTGGACATATTTTTCTCCCCCCAAAGTAGTTGCTCTACTTAAACTGAAGCTTTGCAGTATGTCACTTCAGTGATCTGGAATGATCTTTCTCAAAGTAAGAAAAAAAAAAAAAATCACCGAAAACCTTAATTTTAAGTGTCTAAAAATGTTGTATTCATAAACGTCTAAAGGAAGAACATAATCCTTTTATTGCCCAACTCTTTCTTGAGAATAACTGACAGAGGGGAGAATGATGCATACCACAAGTAAACAGTAGCAGGGGAATTAGTTGCTGTTTCCATTTGCAAGAGGAGGAGAAGGACCAGTTGTCTCCAGAGAGGCATGTAATTATTTCTTCCCTCATTGTGCAAAATATAAAAAAGAACAGAAGTTATTAAAAAGGTGAGAGAGAACAGGAGAAAAGAAGGGAGGAGCTCCTCTGAATCAGATCATAAATACAAACTTACGGTTAATAAGAGGGTTGCTTCTCAGTCAATAGAATTTTGTCTTTTGAATTTTATGGGAACAAATGCATATAGGCTGAAATTTAGTTTTAGTTATAGGCTTTTCTGGCATACATTCACTTCAAACCAGCACAGATATTGCTCAAAAGTTATTCATGCAAGGAGAACTTCCAAAATTTGACACATTGTTCACTTTTTTTTTTTATACTGCCGGTGCAAATCATGCAGGTCAAGCTGCGAAGTGATGGATGTTCTCCGTGGAGGCTGGTAATGCTCCCTTGGAGAAAGAGCATTTGAACACATTTCTATCCCTGCCTCCTTGAATTGTTTAGTTCTGTTGCACAGAAGAAAAATGGAGCTCCTTAGTATATTGCTGTTGCTTATTGCCCTTAGTGTATTGTAGTCTGGACTTGGTGAGATGGTTTTTGTATTCAAATTTAGGCAAAAATTCTAATTTTGGTTCTGTATAGCTAAAAATGTTATGCCTGGGAGAGAAAAGAGGTAGTGTTTCTAAGAAGGAGCAGGGGCTAATTTTACCAAGATACAGAACTAGCCTTGCTGCAGGTAAAACCAGCTCCTTTGGCGTGGAGTTACTTATATAAGGGCTGGTTCTTCATGTTTAAATGATTCTATGAACATCACCTAACATCTGTAAAAGTGACCCATATGCTAAGGATCTTTTGTGGTTTTAACCTTATGGGAGCCTGATTTTTAAGCTATTACATTTTTTCAGGCTAATTTTTGAGATGTACCCTCTGAGTTGGAACGACATGAGGAGGCAGATGACAATCCTGAGTCGTGTTTATTTTCAGTCCATTGAAAGCTCTTCCTGACCAGTTTTGTGTTTTCTTTGCATTAGTTCCTTGCAGCATAGATGCTTCTTACCAAGGGAAGGGCTGAAGATAGATGTGAAATAAAACTATGGAATTATGGAAGGACAGCGGACAGTCAGAATTATTTATAGAGGATATCAGGCAAGTGCACAGACTTCCCTAGCAGTTGGACTGAGCATAGGTATAAGTGGAATGATGCAGAATTGCATATTCCAAATCTGATTCTGAGAATTGCCTGAATGGGCATATAGGAAACCAGCAGAAACAGAAATGCAAGCACTAGTTATTTCACGTGATACTCTCCTAGTCCTTACAGATGCAAAATCGCCATTTCATGTTTCCTGAAAATTGGGAATTATCTGGTTTTCAAAGGCATGAATTGATTTATTACCAAATTATGCAACGATGTCAGTTGTAGACTGCAATGAGAACAGCTCTCAAACAATACTGGTTTTCAGTAGCAATAATATCATAAATATTGTTACCAACTTATTGAGGTATATGAATACTATTCCATTGTGGTTTTTAACCTAAATTTTGTATAAAGTTCCTTTCAAAGATGCTATTGCTTTTTTGAGACAATACTAGCAAAATAATTGTCTTTTTGTTTAGATTTTTTTGATAAGGGGAATTTGTCAGTAGTGGCTCATATGTGAGTTTAGGTGTAGCCTTAAAAATTAAAAAATTGTATTTTATGTTGGAGGCTATATCAGAAAATAAATTACTGAAACTTCTATAGTTGTGCTGTGTAAGTGACCCATGATGTGACACTGCCTACTGATATTCTTCTGTGATGCAGATGGAGTTTAAGCATGAGATGCAGTTGCCTAATGCTATCATCTCTCTCTTGCATGTGTCTGCTGGAGTCCAGGTGGAAATGCTTTTCAGTGCTGCAGCTGGAAAGAGAACTTTCCCT